TTCTAATTTTATTGTTGTGAAAAGTACTGATAATTTTTTACATTTGAGCCGCTCGAGTATCAACTAAATCTAATTTCTTTCAGAAATAACCTATAGAACATTTATTGCTAACCTATCTAAAATCTGTTATCTTCTTGTATGCGCTCTACCTTGTTTTTCCACTCCATAACTATATTTCGATTTTAGACAATATATTCTAGTAATAAGTGGAATTAGGTATGTAAAGTAGTTTTAATAACGAACAACAATTTTTATGAATAAAGTAATAAAAATRATTATATTATATTATCAACGCACGACTTCGTTTTGTCACTGTCTCGTAGTTATTTGTTTCAATAATAATTATAAATTATAAATATRAAATTAAATTAAATAAACAAATATTAGAATACTTGTGCCATGTCCCATAGAAAAGCGTTAAATGTGTCACTTTTATTAAAACCTCTCCACCACGTTTCAATGAGATACCTGTAATTATTATTATATTTATATATACCTTGGTATTATTATTGTAATATATTATACTTTGGAAGCAAATTTGGAGTTATGCCACTCATATTTTTCACGATTTTTAGTCTTAGAGACCGCCATAAAGTTTCAATTCTCTGGGTATGTGCCTTTGATATTGGATCTACGAAATTTTCGCTATGATTTACAACATAGTGGTTGTACCTRTGGTCCGAGAGTCCATTATACCCTGATCGGAATGTATTGTAGACCCAGCAATAACCTCTCTTTGTATGATTTCGTGTTAAGTCATTTTGTCTCTTTTTTGGACAACAAAATACCTTCCTTCTTTATTGTCACATAAGCCAAATACCTACCTATGGTCCATCTAGCCGTTTTCCATAGTTTCTTGCTCCGTTTTCTAAAGGATTAACATTTTCCAAGTCCAAGTCGTCGTCGACGTTAATATTTTCGGCTGGTAAATCTGCAAGTCGAAGTCGACCTTTATTATTTTTCCTCGATCCTCTTAATAAGTATTCGTCAACTTGGATCACTATTYCRAGTCTTCCCAATTTAATACGATTTTCAAACATTCTGACAGGTACATCACGGCACATGTTCATCCAGTCACACACTGTATTATGTGATCTACCGGTTAAACTTATAATTGTAGTCTGCAGTTTAATATCTTGACACCAATAATAAACCAGTTCAAATTGTGCATCCACTATTGTTACGGACATTTTTGTCAATGTACGTTAAAAAACTATTATTTTTTATATATATATAGGTAATTAAAAAAAATATATATATATACATATATTATATAGGTAATTAATAAATAATATTATGCCTGAAACATAAAATGACACATATATGTTTCTCACCTTATACTTTGAGTCGTTTGGCACCCTTTCCTTTTACACCTCAACAATTTTCTTTCCTTGCCTCGCTCTTTTTTTAAATCTAATATTTCATTTCACTATCACATTTATTGCACAATACCTATATTATTTACATTTACTAATAGATTTTTCGCAATTAAAAAATTAGTAACTGATCCTTTTGTTTTGTATAACTTTGTAAAATTCTTTTGCAAACATTTTGAACGTGATGTGAAAATATAAAACCGTGTATGAAATGTGAACTCAAGTATTAGTAGTAGAGTGTAAGACTGTGAACCCTAATCTTTATTATTACCATTAAGTCACGATAATAAAGATATAAATTGTATATTAGAGCGCATACAACAATCGTCCAATAATCGCAGGTAGACYGTAATCTGGGGTAGAGCGCATAAGAAGATAGCTCTAAAATCTACAAGTACCTAATATTTAATTATACAGATGTAATGATTCTAATAATATTTTATGTTATTATTTTATTAACTTAGGATCGCGGAAAAAAGCGACACGGAAAAAAACGTCTGCAGGTAAAAATGTCACAGTAAAAACCGACACGGGTAAAAAACGTTACAGAAAAAAACGACAAAAATGTATTTTTATCTAAAAATAACAATCACGAGTTTCAAGTTTATTGATAAAATAATGGCATAATATTACTATAGACAATTTGGTGAAATATAAAAATTAAAATTAAAATTATAATAGCTGTTATTATATAGAAAAAAAAATTAACAATAGTTTTAAAAATAACAAAATCGGATAATAAATGCTATAGCCTTTAAAAATTTGGGATATCTCTTTCCCCACTTGAATATTCATTACAGATATTTTTTAATTTATTTTGTAAATCTGTATAAATCTTTGATTTTTTTTGGTGATGTCCCCAATGCATATTGAGTCAATTTTGTTTCGTCATTCGCTACCTCCAGTCGGATTTTCGTTATCAATACCCTTGGGTAAAAAGAGATGGCAATGGTCCACTAACTTTGAAAATCTATGATTCCATTCCTCAGTTTCATTATTAGTCCGATCACCATCGTTCAATGTGATATTATGGATGGGTAGACAATTCCGCAAACGTAKACAATTATCTTGTGTCGAATTAATTCTTCTAAATGTACCGGTCGCATAAGTAATGTCGAAATATTCTAATATAGCTGAACTTTTTTCTGGTATTATAGTTTTTAAGTATACCATTCTTTCAGCTACATCACATAACGGTAAAAATGCTAATGCATCCAATTGTCGGTAAAATGCAGAAAATTCTTCATCCGTTTTATAATAATTTGTTAATCCCATTTTTGAATGTGACGATTTGTTACTTGTGTGAGATAACAAAAACATCCATTCACCTCTACGTGTTCACCTATAACCGTTTTTATTGCATTTATAACTGCTTTTTTGAAATCAAAATGTACATTCTTCAGTTTAACATTCTCTCGTAAGTAGACTGGAATTTTTTCGTGAGCAAGTAATAAACGGCAGTAACTAAAATATTATTAATTAAATTTGTATTCTTATTACATAAATGTGCATAAAACCTTTAGGTGACAAAGCAAAATTAACGTCCATATACCATTCATTCGACTTGGATAAATCTACGACAGTTGTTTGGTATGGGTTTGATAAGACGCTCGACCTATAATTGTTGTTATTACCTATAGTATAATAATAATACTATATACTATATTACTTATTAATTATTATAACTTATATCTTTGACGTTTTTTTCCGTGATGTTTTTTACCGATTACCCAATAGCCCACTAACTTTGAAAATCTATGATTCCATTCCTTCTTAAAAGCGTTATATAAATTAAACAAACTTAAATGTAAAGGATATGTTCGTTTATAATATTAAAAGATATAAAATCTGATATTAAACATATTACAGTATTTAAATATGTCAGATAAAACAAAACAAAAAAATAATTGCTGGACAATATACAATATATCTTACGAATTAAATACAATATTTTACCAAACTTTTCATAGGTCTCCTAGGAAAATTAATCACCACTCACTGTTAAATATTATAATCGAGTAACTACCTAACTACATTTATACGGACACCAGCTTTGGAATGTTAGAGACACTTTCCGGTTAGTCGTTGGTGTTGACGTCACTATATTAGTATTGTTTTATTACAATACTAATTCGGTAAATACCGGTRAAAAAGTATACGATAACTACGTTAGTTGAATATTTATTATGGTACTCCTATAACCCGTCCAGTCAATCTTGGCACTCAGCATCCGTTACGATTAAAAAAAAACAAAGAACAGTGGTGTGAAAACTTTTTTATACGGGGGAAAAATTCGATACAGTTGCCAATAGTACTAATATGAACTGAACAAGTTTTACCTACACGCATATACATGAGTACACGAGTAGTAGTTTGTTTTCGAATTAATTCATCATATAAACGTAGTAATTCTTGCAATAATTATATAGGTACTCAAATATAAGCCATTTTGCATTTTGGACAAAGTTTGTTAATAATCGAGTGGAAAATATAAATTTTTGTCGTTTATAGCGTTTTAGACTTACTGAGGGACGAGTTGTTTATTGTGAATATAGCTGACGATAAGTACAGACCGTGTAATAACAAGACTGGTTTGCCGGTAGATGTGTTATTACGGTGTTTACTGTAYGGTATTCGTTCTATGCCCAACTGATATTTGTCAATAGTCCTGACTTGATACGTCATCAGAGGATAGCCAAATTCCTTAATTCTGCTTGACTATAATATAATACAATATTTTATTATTATTAATCTATTTCAAAACAGTTTTCAGAATTTCCAATGGTAACTAATGCGAAAGGTAAGTATCTAGGGTCTAAACACAGGTTAATTGTATCAAATTATATTTGTTTATGGTACCTACCTATTAGGCATGCCTTATATGATGAATCGTGTTAATTTTTAATTAATATAAGCATTATAAGAGCCTGAATGACTGGAAAAATATATCATTGCATTCATAGTTTAAATTGCCATGATAATAATATATGGACAGAAAGTACTAAGTTACAAAATAACATTATCAAATTATTACATCATAATTATAACAAGCTCTACTTAAAACAAAACATAATACAAAAATAAGTATTTTATTATAATGTAATAAACTCCAGACTCCAGTCACTACTGAATATAATACACGCTTATTAAATAATAGTGTACACAAATTATTAATTCAGATAGCGAAATATTTTAAGTTATATATTGTACAGGTTCATCTTATGAATATCATTATTCATTCATTTACATGGGTATATAACCTTCAGTGGGTCATATACATTCAAGTGTACCTAACTCGGACTTTGAATAAAAGAACATACGTATTTTAATCAAAATCGTATTCAGAGCCGATTCAACATAATCATGAATTTATTGTATGATACATATATTTTAATTAAACAGTATGACCTGTTGGTTACGTAGAGTTGGGTTAGCAGCTATTACGTGTAAA